CTGCCCCCCATTATATTTCTCCTCTTCTATGCCCTTTGCCTTAGATGACACTGTGACTTTTCCAGATGTCCCAGGCAGAAACCTGGGCATCATCCTAAATTTCTCCTGCTCTGTCCATGTCTATTCAATTGGTTATCAAGCCCTCTCAGCTCTAGTTCGTGAAGAACCCCTAATACTCCTTTATCTCTCTTCTCACTGCTGCTTGTCTCCGTCCCACTTTCTTTTCCCCCTCCATTACTGAAACATCTTCCACCTCTCTGCCGGCCTTCAAATCTGGAATCCCCTGTTCCTTCCTCACTTTGATGTATCTTCCATTCTGCTTTGAAGGTCCTATTTCTAATACATAAACCTAAGCAGGTCATTCTGCTGTAGAGAAGTTCCTTCAACAGCTTTAGGACAAAAGAGAACATCCTTTGCAAGGCCCAGGGTCTGGCTTTTCCCTCTCCAGACCCCTTTTCCCGTGTGCCCTTAACATTCAAGCCATGGGATCCACTTGGTCAAGCTCCCTTGTCACTGTGATTTCCTGAATGCTGTTCCCTCTGCATAGAGTGCCCTTCCTTCTCTTACTATTTGGCTGACTCCCAGAGCTCTGAGACTCAGCTCTAGGCCTCGCCTCCTCTAGGAACTTTCCTTAACTTACCGCCACTTTGAATGAGGGCCATTCATGGTGCCTGCCCTGACCCAAGGCAAGTCTTGAAGAAAGCATGTTTTCACAGCAGGACACTTGGATTCAGTGCCCATTTGTTGCTCATCTGATAGTGATCTGCTTCAGGCAGGAACAGTTTCACTCACCCCTGTCTCCCAGAAACTAGTTAGTCCAAAGCTTCTCTCAGCAGGTGCTCAAAAAAGTCAACTGACTTGAATGAGGACAAAAGTAACCTGTGAATCAGTCATTTTCCCCTTCTTTCTCCTCCCATGTAATGCAGCTACATCATTCATCACAGCTGTGGAATTCTGTTAAGTCTTTGGGTGTTGGGTTTATGTACCATCTTTGAAAACATGGTGCTAATGTAAGTGGCAAATGTGCATCTTCTGCCAACTGACTTGTATACTTTCTTTCTAGGAAATGATGGGAATGTCTTTGCTCTCTTTCTTGGCCACCTGAAAGCCTTGTATGAGACAAGACGCAACAAAGCACATTCCACTCATGAGCTGCCCAGGGAAAGAACAACATTACAGTCGAGTACCAACTCACAATCAAGAACCTTTCCCCTGGGATGAGTCACTGTGAAGTTTTTGAAATAAACAAAGACAAATGGATGTGGAAAGCAAACCAGCCTCCTTAGTCCAAATATATATAACCAGTAGCTTCCACAGGGAAGGGTAAAGGGAAGAAACTGCATATTTCAGTTGTTTCCCATTTCTCTTGGGTTAGTTTCAAGTTGAATGGTGGATCTCATTTTTTCTTTAGCTTGAGATATTATTGTGAGACCTCCACCTCAAGAGACATTTAATCTGTACTTTGAGGTCTACTGAAACCGTCAGGATGGACATTTACTAAAGAAGGAAAACCAAAGCACTGTAGGCAGATGTCATTAATCCTTTGAGAGCAAGAGCTGGTCTATGCGGAAGAGAACTTAGTGACAGTCCCTGGCAGGAATGCTAACGCCCAGACAGGAAGGGGGCTTGATCCATGCATGTGAAAAATGAAAAGAACAAGAATGCTGGGCTTGAGATTCATTCCACACTCTTGACCCAAGAGGTACACTCCTAACGGATGATGTGTAGCCAGACCTGGCCAGTCTAGCTAGATGAAAGGAAAGAATGGATGAATACCACCGTGTTTCAGAGAGAGATTCACAGCTGTTGGCCAGAAAGAGGAATTCACACTAAATCAAGATCAACTATAGTAACTTTTTATTCTTTTCCCAAGGTGCAAGGTGAGGGCAAAATACATTCCCTATGGATTTAAGAACTCTTCCAAATTCTACCAAGGTGTCTCGTTGTTCTTCTAAACTGGATGCTTAACAATTAGAACAATAGCATTAGATGACAGTACCCCAAGGTGGACCAGCATATACTTTACAACAGCTGACACTCCTGCCAAAGGGCCTGGATGAGAGGAAAGAAAGATTGTGGACCCAAAAGGAACAGCCGGCTCTTTTTCAAGGCACCTCACTTGGTCTTATATGTCATTTATTTTTATTTTTTTAATTTGAGATGGAGTCTCACTCACTGTTACCCAGGCTGGAGTGCAGTGGTGTGATCTTGGCTTACTGCAACCTCTGTCTCCTGGGTTCAAGTGATTCTCCAGCTTCAGCCCCCCGAGTAGCTGAGATTACAGGTGCACACCACCACACCTGACTAATTTTTGTATTTTTAGTAGAGACAGTGTTTTGCCATGTTGGCCAGGCTGGTCTTGAACTCTTGACCTCAGGTGATCTGCCAGCCTCAGACTCCCAAAGTGTTGGGATTACAGGTGTGAGCTACCGCCCTGGTCATATCTCATTTATTTAAAAGTGTGAATTATCTTTAAAACTGTAAACCAGCAACTGCTCTTAGACACAGAGCTCAAAGGACAAACCCCTGGGTTATGAGCAGGGCTGCTTCTTGGGTACACTCCTAGGAAGCCATTTTGAATAATATCTGGTGGCGGAAAAGTCTACAGCAGTGGCATCTTGCGGCAGGGCTGGGGAGGGACATTTGTGTTGAACAAATACTGGCCCGTGACACTTTGGAATGCTAGTGTTTTTGGATGTAGACACCTTTTCTGTCTGACCTTTCAGCTAAACTGCAAATACACTTTTCCCACAAATAGAATCCTTCATCATAATGTTTCTTCCTTCAAATATTTTTTGCCATTTAACTTGCTAATGACTTTATACTTGGAATCCCAATCCCGTTCTCGGAAGAAGGAAAGTTCAATAGGTCAGCAGAAGGGAAATACACCCAGCCATCAAATAGCCTGTTTTCTGGCTACACCCCTTGGGCCTACAAAGAAAATCCAGGGTATGAGATCTTGTGTCATTTTTCTGATTGAATAGGCTCTGAGGTGACCATTCTCACTGATTCTAAAGAAAGAAATCAAATAAGCTTAGATACGGTATATTCCTTAACCTTTGCAATATTTTGACTTTTGTCCTAAAATGAGGATAGGGCATTATTCAATTTTTCTCTCATTTCTCTTTAAAAACCTGTTATCTTTATTTCTCACCTCAAAATGGTAGCGCTCAAAGAGCATACCTTTACCTACTTTGGAAGAATGTCAAAAGTGTACATGAGTGCCTCAAAAAAAAAAAAAAAAAAAAAAGAAAGAAAACAAAGTAAAAGGAGGAAGAATAAATGTCCAAAAACCAGAGAGTGGAATCAGCATTCTTCTATGGGTGAGATCTTTACCTTGGTGAACGCTCCTCCTATAGGATCCTCCTTGCCCTTCAAACACAAAGGTCAATGCCTCCTCCCCAGTTACTCGTTAGAACCACAGCATAGGCTTTCTTGGAAACTTGCTGTCCAGACATCGAACTTCACTTGGAAAGAAGCTAGTCAAAAGCAATGGCTGCCTCAGCCTCCCATGGTCCTTCAGCTATTTTGATGCCCATTGCCGGATGCCAAGTCAGGTTTATCTAAAACAGCGTTGAGCCTCACCTGCTACTCATCACCTGGGGCTCAGCTGCTTGAACACATAACCATGCAGCATAAACTCAGAAATGGGTTTTGCTAGTGCTCCCATAGTGTGATACAATTCCCTGAAGACTCTGAAATAGAAAGAGGACACACATCCCCTTCGTGCCCCAGTGCCACATGGTTTTTGCTGCCTGTTATATACCTTTAAAGACCCATTTGTAGCACCAGAGGAAAACATCGAGACACATCCCGTCACTCTGGGCCCTCAGCACTGGAACCATCGATAGGATGGAGGCAGGATAGAGAGGCCTAAGCAAGAGGGAGATTCAAGGAATGTGCCAGGGGAGCAGTTTCATGTTAGCCTCATTCCCAGAGTTGAAAAGCTCCATTTTCCAGCCTGGTGCGCCCTTATAACCGGCACCTGGGCAATCATGGGCATGCTTTCTGTCCAGGCTTCCATGAAGGGAGAGGCAGGGGAATCAGTACAGAGCTTCCTATGTCAACACTGACTGTTTACGAGGGGAAGATCAGAAAACAGCAAAACCTCAGGACTATTAATGCCAGCTAAGAGGGTGTTCTCAGAGCCTCCCCTCAGTATGCTTGTGGTTACTGTTCACCATCTCACATTGTTACTAGTATGTCTCTCATGCGCATCTTTGCCTAAGGGCTTCCCAGCCCTTGTACAACTGGAGTCTAAAAATATAGCATGCACGTATCCTCTTTGTACCTATCATAAGTCATTTGGAAATCTATCTCCTGAAGAATATCTTTAGAAGAGGGTCGATTCACAAGGCAATGGAGGAATTTATTTATGTTGCACAAAAGGCCTTTATCACCTGTATGCAAATCTGTTAGCAGGATTAAAACACTGTTAGAGAGTCACAGTGGTATTTTCATGTCCCTTAAATAGAAGCAGAGGAAAGGGTTTAAAGGTTTTTTTTTTTTGGCTATCAACGAGAAGAGGAGAGAGAAAGGAAGCACTACTGCATTAAGATAAATTTAAAAAGGAAAAAAAACTCCGTGGTTTGTTTTTCTGAGTTATTGACAGGTCCCTGGCCACAGCAACCAGGTGGAAGGCTGCAGCAGCTCGGTAGCTTTTCAAACAGAAGATCCTATCACAGTTAGCTGTGTCTCATTTAATTGTCGGCAAGTCACCGCAATGCAAAGAAACAAAAACAGAGAGAGAGACAGAAAGAGTGTTGACCTCTCTAACTCTGGTTCCTATTTCCCAGATTTTGGCAAGAAGCACTGGAAGGAGAATCTGAGCCCTTTCTGCCATGGTCAGCCTGGAGTTCTGGAAGGGACAGGTCAAATGCGTAAGCCTGAGGAAGGGGTGGGCTCCTTCTCTCCTGCTGACTACCTCTCTTATTTTTACCCTCTGGACTCCGATAAAGGGAGGGGCTCTGTCCCCAGCGGTTTCTCATTTAGTCACTCACCTTTCATACCACTACCTTCTTCTTGGAATGTGTTACGAGCAGTGGTCTGATCTTCTAAGTGTTCACTCCCACCACTTCCTGAAGAGGCTACACTGCTTTGTGGAGACAGGGGGGCATGATCGGATGGGAGGCACTGAGGTCCTCTAGCTCGTAAGTCCTCATGAGACATCCATCCATGTCCTAGAGGCTGGTTTGGCACATTCATGGGTGGGGTAAGGGACACAGATCGTTTCAAAGGGCTGTGGTGTGCCTGGCCTGAGAGAACTGGAAAAAAAAAATAAAATGAAATAGGTTATTCCCCCCCCTTTATCCTGGGACGCCAAAGAACCCACAATACCTCTTCACCCTGAGAGATACCACTAACTGTCTTACAACTCCATCCATGGTCACAGCAGGTTGAACACAGGCCTGGCATGGTCGTTTTCTTCAGGTGGTTTAAAGGGATGCAGTCTGTCCCTCTCAGTGGGTTGGGCTTCTCCAAGGAGGCCACACCTATAGTGCCCACACATTGGTCCTTAACCTTTGTGGATCTGGATCTGGTTTCGGTTCTAACTCTAGAAATCAGGATTCACAGGAGTGGCCCAAAAATCAGGCAAGGCTTGATAGCCATCTGCCAAAACAAAAAGAACCTGGACTGGACAAGTTTGTTGTTGTTTTTTTAAACATAAATTCTGACATTACCCATGTTGTTCAGGAGGACATCTTGAAGGGCAGGCAGGCTGGCCGGCCATTGTTTGGGATCTTTGCAGGGCTGAACGAGAAGAAGGTGGACTAATCTTTCCAACCAGGACTCAGGGAACGATTGCCTCTGAAGGGTGGGACGGCTCAGCAGGGGCCCCAGAACTAATATGACCTCAGGGTCTGGGTACTGCAGCTAGCTGAGGGTGAAAGAGCCGCTTCTTCTAGGGCCAATTCTTTCCTTTGGCCTCACAGGTCAATGCCAAACTCTGTATTGCAAACACTTCCAGGTAACAAGGCTTTCATTCAGAAGCCGGTGGGGTCCTCTCAGGAAGCTGGGGATGGTTTTCACCAGCATGTTCAGCCCTCTGCACAGCGGGCAACATCTGCGCAGCCCCCGTCTTTAATTTCTTTTCCAGAAAACTAGGAAAAAGCAACATAACTCACACAACTAGCCAAATTAAATTGAAGTCATTCAAGGGAGGGATTTAACAAAAACCAACACCGAGGGAGCCGACGTTACCCTTGGTTGGTTTTTCTGGGTGTGTAAAGTGACAACTCTACAAAATAAGCCTATTCATAACATTCTCTCAGCACCAGTTCCTGACAGGTCCAGTTTATTTTGACTGCCGCTGTACTAACATGGAACTGAGCCACATGCATTTTTAAACATTTTTCAGGGAAGCCATTAAATTCCGTCTCAGGCTCTGTCCCCACCAATGAGGCATTTGCTCTCCCAAATTTAGACGAGCACTTCTTTGTGGGTGTTCATCCTTCCATGGTGAATGGTCCTGCTTTCGGTTACACTGCGTTTCTGGTGGGGCAGTCCTGACATAAAGGCTTGAGCAGATGACTGTGTCCCCCGCTTCAAAAGATAAAGACCAGAGTCAAAAGGCTGGATGTTTCCAGAAAGTATGTTTGGGGCAGTAGTGGGCTAGGTAAGCTGCCGCCGGGCAGCTGGCAGTCACCACGCCTGGAAGCCATGGAGTTCATGTCTCTATGGTGAGTGTTTCCATCTGGTCTTGTGTGGCCAGAAGGACAGCCTTGAATGTGAAACAGAGACAATCAGAAGGGCTAGAAACTTCTTTAGGAATGAAAAGGGAGGACAAAAGAGAGCTACCGAGTTTAGTATTTGTAACCTGAGAAATTTCTAATTTGGGTAGATTCTATCAAAGGCAAAGAAATATCATCTAACTTTAAAAAAAAAAGCAAAGGGAATATTGTTTAAAAAATACTGACCCTAACAGGCTGAAACGGCTTGCATTGCTACTAAACAGACTAGGGAAGAAACTATTTTAAAAGGCTCCCTGGAAAATGCATTGCTACCTGGTTGGATCAGAATTAGCAAGAGAAAAAGGTGGGGGAAAGCAGAGAAAAAAAAAAAATAAAAAGGAAGCAGCAGCAAAAATGAAGAGAGAAGCCAATAGGAAGAAAAGCCAGACATCCAGAAAATCCATTCCATGCCTGTCTAAGTATTTATATAAAATTGGGCAGACTTGTTTAGAACTGCTGTGAGTGCTAGGACATTCCAGCTTAGGCATCTTTGCTTTCTGGTACTTCTGCAACCATTTCAGAATATCTGGTGGATGCTTTGACTGGTGCCTGCCTGGTGTACCCCAAGTGGAAGTGGGGGTTCCTCTGCATAGCCAGGATTGGAGTCAGTCTGAAACCACAGAAACAGGTCTTGCCAAAGAGGGACACACAGCTCAGAGCCAGCGGAAGCCTTATGGCCTCTAACCAGCCAGCGGAACCTGGGCTGGTTAGAGGCCACAACTGAATAGGTAACTAATTGATGACCATGGGAGGTTACTGCTACGATAGTCCTCATCTTGCGTATGGCTGCTGAGAACTACACAGTATGTACATTGTAGCTGAATTGTATTATGGCACGGAGCCAATTTGCTGCCTTCCATTTATTTATTTTTTTAAATCCATGCCACCTCCTCCACTGAAGGGCATCCTTGGAGAAGCTGTCAGTTACCCAAGGACTTCACTGGCTACTGAGATTGGAGCTACATGTTTACCTAACTTAATGGACTTACAGGGATTTATACATAGAAACCTACGCCCATTTCCTCACACTTTTCTGAGCTTAACTGAAGTCATAAGGGATATGACATGAACTTGGCCTCTGCTTCTAAGGCAAAATTAATTATACCTGAGGTGCCAGGGTCTTTTCTTGATGACTTTCTATGAAGGCCTCATAGCCTCTACGTCATAACGGATACTTCTTGGTTCCCACAGCTGCCACCAAATTCAGGAATATCTCCCTAGGAGCCAACGTGCTGTGGCAACCAAGCACAATGCCTTACACTAAGCTTCTGATTTGCAGACAGGGCTGTGGGTTTAGAGCCAGGCTGAATGCCACACCTCAATCAAAAGTCATGCCGGACAAGTGCCTCTATTCTCCAAAAAGAACAGAGGCCGAGAGGCAGTACAGGCTTGTCTTCCTGTGGGAAGGGGATGCAAGCAGGTGACAGGTGCCTTGGTGACAGGGCCACTTTGGGATGAAGACACATCTTCAGGTCTAGCAAGGGTAACCACAAAGCTGATGTTGGTGCTACCTCTTGTGCTGGAGCACTTGGTTTGGCATAAAGTGGCAGAGGAAATAATGTCATGGGCAGAAAGAGGTGATAAGAAAATAGGGCACGCAGCTGTGGAACTGAATAGGGGCCAGTGGTAGAGCAGGAATGCTTGTTTCATTCCCAGCCCCTACTCTGTTTTAACTAAGAGATCTCAGGTGAAGTGACAAGAGAGGGTGATATGAACATTCGAGCGGATTTTTTTTTTCCCTAGGAGTAGGGAGGGAAGATTAGTAAATACAGATTTCTGAGAAGCTTTTCAGTGTGGCACTAGCTGCCCCAGGATGTCTCTAGCCAGAGGCTTCTAGATGTTCTTGCCTGTGGTCTGCTGGGCAGTAGGCCACAGCTAACGCTTCATTCAGACTTCAGCTACCCAGAAGTCCTATTCAGATGCTGCTGAATTAAGTGTATCTTTTTAAAAGAAATCTCAACATAGATTAGAAACTGGCAAGTCCAGCAGAACTGAGGGCCTCAAATTTATACTGCATTTGCAACTTTCATACTAGTGTGGGTAGAGGGACGGCATATTTCAGGATGAATTCATTATATTGAAAAGCAAACTAAAAATTACTCAGGGTTAACAAAATTGTGCCTTTTTGCTCTTAAAACGTGGAAACTGAAATTTAATATTGCATACAGTATGGATCCAAAATTGCTTGCATTTTTAAAAACCTCTGTAAAATATTTTAGGTCTGTATATACACATAGGTATGCCAGTATGCATGCATGCATATATCATTAGGACACTGTAATTTCTGGAATATTTTTAAATTCACATGAATCAAAAGTAAATAATAAGGGTTAAGTAAATCTCGTTGAAATATGGACAGAGCAGCTAGAAGTCACCTTGCTACAGCAGTTGGGCAGCGTGTGGGGAGTACAGAGGTTCTTATCCTCTTGTTATAAACTTGGTCATGCTGTCAGGACCAGTCAGCTTTTCTGACCTCATCCAGCCTTATGATTTTTCATCTTCTAGCATCTTTAATGAGACCCCTTTCAGCACCTTTTAAGGGGAAAATATGATACCTGGCTCTGGGTTCTGTTCGTTTAAGTATTTTCTTTGAATCCTGGGATTCAGATTTCTTTCCCATTTCCTTTGACCAACTTTTTTGACTCCATCTTGATTTTGTTTATTGAAATAAGAGTCAGGAAAAGATGTTTCAGACTATTTAGTACTCCTTAAGGAAAATTAACTGTATCTACCTTTGTCTACCTTCGAATCTGAGAAATAATGGAGTTTATGGATGGAAGAAAGTTTGGGATAGTGGCCCAAGTATTCCTTGGTTCATTGTTAAGTTAAATACATACTCACTGTCAAGGAGAAAAGTGACCCACACAAGCAAATAGTTTAAAATAGTAACTAAAGCTTGAGTCTTACACCAAAGCTTTATCCTAACAAACTTTAACAAAGATCTGTCAAAGACACATTGTGTATTTCTCTGCTCTCCTTAAATTGACATGTTGAATGCAATTTATGCTTTAAACATTATATAAAGCATAATTTTTAATAATTTATAATAAACTAAATGATTTTAAAATTATTTAAAGCATGCTTTAAAAATGTTATGAACATATGTTCCTAACATTTTAGAACTGGAAGCCTCCTGAAACAATTCAGTAATGCCTAATCTGGGAGCTGTGGGTGCCTGGCTAGTAGAAAGACCCCAAAATCCCTCCGTACACCAAGCCTTGTTAGTGGATGAACTGCTATGTCATGGATGACTTTTCTATGTATAGAGAGGGTATGGAAATTAATACAATATAAATTAATATAAATTAAACCTATGCTGAACATATGGACCTTTGGTCTTTTTAAGAAAAAAGGTCAGCAGATTTGAAATACAATTGTGGTTTTAATGGACACCCCGATTTTTAAATATTAGTTATTAACTTACACAGTTCATATGTTCTATTGGTCTAGCACCCTCATTTGACAGAGATGATCTGTTGCTTTATGCCGTCTTCATTGAGTTAGGCTTCAATGGGCAGTCTGGGTAGCCTCAG